GTGGTTGTAGGTTGCCTGTTGCCACCCTTCCCCCCACCCCACCCATTAGATTCTTTATATAGTTTGTTAAATGTCCTTTCACCTTCTCCCTTCTGAAAGCGCACAAGTGAGTGCTCGGTGCGCAAGTGAGGTAAAGTGCGCAAGTGATCTTTTTCCAGTTCCCAAGTGGGTTGGCCATCCAGCACCTGACAAATCATAGTTTTACTTAGTGAAGTAGGGCAAAAACACTCAGCAATCCATTCTTCCCAGTTCTCGAACACGATTTGGACTGAAGTCACCTGAAAAATGCTCGTCCACACTCAAGCACCCTCCGTGCTCAACCAAGATCAGGTTGTTTCTCCTCCTTCGTGGGCTCCATCACGGCGACGGTGAATGCGTTGCGAAGCATCCAAGCCACCAAAGTCAAGCAGCAGAACGAAGTGCCACCGGGCGACCGTATGTCACCGGAGCGGGACCCGGGGAGCGACTAGTCACCTACCGTACCCTCCAACTGCGTTAGACGTGGAGTTCACCAAATGTCGTTAGATGTGAAGATTTGAACAAAGGAGTTTGAGAAACAAGGGGGTCTTGGTCCAGTAATGCTATAATGTTAACCTCTCAGTAGTAACCCCCCCCTTATGAAACAATTACACCAGCATAGACCCAGATAGCTAGGCAGAATCCCACGACTTGTTGACATGCGAATGGCTGGAACAAGAATGTACGCAGCCTGCACAGCCAGCTTACGGCACCTCCACAGCGCGCACAATTAGCTGACACCAGCACCGGCAGCGGCGCCAGAACCGACCAGCGCCACCGCCCGTCCGCGCGCTCAGCCAGCTCACAACACCAGCACCCAGGACCACAACACCAGCACCAGCACATTTGCAGCAAGAACCCCATAGCTATTCTCATTTGGGGAATAACAACGTATGATCTTGCGCGTATAAGCTTACGCGCACAGAAGTATGCGCGCAAACAGCAAAGCCTCAAGTGTCATGGGCCCAAGGCCAAGCAGTATCCAGCGCCACTATTGACTTTGTAGCACGCTTGAAGCAACGATCTGCAGAACGAAAAGGCCGTATGATCTTGCGCGTATGTTTATGCGCATAAACATATGCGCGCAAACGGCAAGGCCCATACACCAGCACCGGCACCCGGCACCAGCACCAGCACCCGGCACCAAACCTGTCTCCACCACGTGCACCGCCAGCTCACAGCACCAGCACCGGCACCCAGCACCAGCAACCTGTCTCAAAAGCGCGCACGGGCAACTCATTGTTATTTGAAGTAAGAACCCCATAGCTTCACTATCTGGGTAAAAATCTGTGGTAGTCAAAACTCTCAGCCTTAAAAAAGACCTCCAACCATTGGGATTTAGCGGAGGGTCTCTCATTTGCTTTCATTCTGCTTTTAAAGAAAAAAGGACAACACATGGCAAGAACAAGTCAGCAGGGCTGCAGGGGGGGGTTGATTATTGTAGGCTTGTTGATCATTGCAGGGGGTGGGAGTCTAAAGGGGTGCCCTTTGATTTTTTTGTATTTGTTTGATAGGGTTTGAATCAGGAAACCTAGAGTTTTTGGCTAGCCAACGTTTTTGGACATCTGACCTCTGATGGTCAAAGATTCTGAAAACACATGTTTATCAGTTTTGGGATCTGGATGTTTGCGCAATTAGAAGTAGTATTGCAACAAAAAATTGCATGCCAAAAGCCTCGTTATTATTGTCTCAGGTATATAATTGATTCGTCAATTGTATTTTTTTGGGGTTTGGATGTTGGCGCAATTAAAAATAGTATTGCAAAATCCTGGCCTGCCAAACATTTCATTATTATTGACACATGGTTCATTAATGGTAGGTTAACATTACACTCCCATGATCTTCCATGTGATGTGGAGATATGTGAAAGGGATGCGGCAACTAAAAAACTTAACAGAAAAGGAATCACATCTTTGAAAACAGTTCCATGACAATCTCCACGTGCAGGAAAGGGTACACCAGGTTCCTGATCCCCAATGGGGGGATGTGTGCATGCGCATGAATTGCATTCAGGGAGCCCGAGTGATATTATAGCAACATATTTTCCATTTACAACTCTATGACAAGACCGCGACGACGATTTGTTGGTAGGTGTTTGTGTGTGTTGCCAAAAGATTTTGGATAAACGCTTCTCCTTACCCTCCGCTACTCCCTCACTCCCTCACCTACTCAATTACCAGTGATTCTTCGCACTAGCCGTGCGCTCTGCGCTAGCACCACGCTGGACGACAGTCCACATCGTGACCAGAACACTGTTCATTTTATTGTTTTTCAGTTTGGTTTGCTGAAGCTTTGGGCTTAATGGCAGGGGTTGAGCCAATTTTTGTTTCAACCCAATAGCAGCAAGACTCCAGCAACTGCAAAGTACATCGAGTTTTTGTTGAATCCTGCATGAAGTCACATCAGTTGTAACTATGGTTCAATCCGATAGATTTGAAGTAGAACCCCATCAGCGTTGATGAATCGTCACTTTTTTAAAAAGAGACAAGCAGCCAGCCGCCCGTATACATCTATGTTTGACAACATCAACAAATATGTAACATGTATACTATATTTAACTATTTGTATACTTGAGATTCATTTCAATGCGTCACTTTTTGACTCGAGTTGTGTTTGTTTATATTTTTTCCAGCAATGATGTCAGAATTGATGTTTTCCCACCATTGGCAGAGTTTCCACCAGTTGGAAACGAGGCTCCGGTTCTTTGCTGAGAGAAAAATGTCTTTGGACCTCTATCGGAAGGTGCAGGACGGGACTGGAACAACTGCCAGCTGGCAGGGGAAGAGCAGATGTTCGCACCAGTCGCACCAGCCATGTCTGTATGATGTGTTCTTTTTTGACTCGTCACGCGTTCCATCCAATTTCGTAATTGGGTCTAAAGGGCAATGAGCGCAAGGACCAAACATGGTTCCCATTTTGGCAACTTGAGCCGACCCTGCTGGCCCAAGGCATCTCTTACTTTGCCAGCAGTGCTTAATTGGCAGCGAGCAATGAGTGTGAAGTTGTAGGCTGACCAGGTGGTACATTTTAACATTGTTTGATCGATGCCAATGCCAAGGTCTTGGCAGCTAAGAACCGTTCTCCCACACCTCATCATTGTATGCAGTTACTTCCCAGTGGCATTCCTCAAAATGAGACATACCGTTTGGAACCCAGAAGGAGCCTTTAGGGTCCAACAACATTGGATTCATGTTTCACCATGTTGATGCTGGCATTCTTCTTGCCAAAGGGTCCATGTGTGGGTTGGAAAGCCACCTTGCAAAGATCTGGAAAACATGTTTGTTCACATAGTATTCTAGAGTATTGTATACTACAGTAGATGTATCATATTATGTTTCTATATGTGTATATACGTATATTTGTATATATAATTGCCTTTTCATCTATATCTAAAATTGTCAATGCACGTATGTATGACCCTCTACAACCAGCATGTAGCAGCACTGGGCTTCCTTGTTCTACCGGGAAACCAACCAAACCATACCAAACCCTCCTCCACCCATCCACGGAGCCGGGCCGCCGCAGTACGTGATCCGCACAGAGAAACTCATGGATGAGCCGCTCATGGAAAACGAGGTCACGTTGCTGAAGCTCCTGCCACAACGCTTCAGGACAGGGACGGCAGACGTCGCCACGTGTTCCTCGGTCCGTCCTGGCCGAAGTCGCCACATGGGTCCGTGACGGTGAACTGGTGCAAGTCTGAGCTGTTTCCACCAAGAGGTGTAGAGTGTAGAGATGTGTAGAGGGCATGCGGCATGGGTGAGGAGATGTCAGCTTGCCAGATTTACTCAGCAAAATGGTTCTCCATGGCTGAGCCTTGCACTGGTCAATGTCCCATCCGGACTCGAACCCACAACATGTAAAAGTTTGTGGGCAGTGTGCACCGCACCCCTCCAATTCCAACCAGCTAGTTTGGTCGTGCTCCAAATGCCAAAGCTTTCTGCAGGTTGGTCAACTTAAGAGCCAATGGCCTACCTTTGGAATCATGAAATTGCGTGGGATTGCTCGAAACTAATGCGTTATCCTTGAGTAAAGCCGATCAACCTTTGCCAGGATCCAGTTGCACGAGGAGCCGTGATCAGGGGGGCAGTGAGCTAAGGTTCAATCTTGGCATGGTCGGTTTTTTTGATTGCTCAAACATGCTCAAACCAGACCCAACCACCTATTTAAAGTGTTTGCTAACCAATTTATATTTTAGATTTATATCACTTGTGTTCGATCTATACCAAGAGGCTTCCCAACCCAAGATCATCATGACCAACTCTTTTCCAAAAAGGCCGGCACCGAAAAACCACCGGCAGCGGCAGGAGATGTATTTGCACGAGTTGTTACAGCTGCCATTCTGGCCCAGCGGCGTTAAGACACGTGAGGGCGTTTTCCTGGCAGAGGCGACTTGGAACAGATCCGTCGACTGAGCAGATCCGTAGTGGAACAGCACTGGGGTCGTTCGTCTTTGAGCATGATGTTTGTCCAACGACAAGAACCATTGTGGAGGAATTCCGCTGAAACATCGTGAATGCCAAAATCGTTCTCAACTGGGCGCAGTGCCTGGCTTGCTCTTGGTGCGCGCGCTGTCATGCGGAAGATACCCACTACTGCCACTCATCGTGGACCTGTGCCTTGTGAAGGGGCCTCCGGAGAGAAAAATGGTAGTGTGGTCCGGTGCCCTTTCCACTTCGTGATGTGTTCGTCGGAGTGCAACCTTCGTCGTTCGTGCTGGTCACAGCAGGGACAACACAGTTTTTGGATTATGTTTCAATCAGGATGAATCAGCTATGTGTAGCTTCATAAGGATTAACGAACGCACACAATTGTGCGGTGCAACCGCGAGGATCTCGTTTTTGTAAAGATCATCACAAACGCAATGTGCAACTCCACTGTTCTCCTCCTTAGCTTTCCACGTGCCTGTTTTGCATAGGAGGGCAATATTGTATGGATGTGTTTGTGTTTACTATATAGTTCTATTAGTGTTTTGAATATATTTCCCGAGATAGCGGTGGGTGCTTACTTCAAGAACCTTTCGAGACACCGGAGCGTATGCGCCGGTGCTGGTGTTTTTTTGTGTGAGCTGGCGGGCTGTGCGCGTAGTATGTAGTATACAATCTTTTACACGCGGCAATGTGTCATCAATATGCCGGAACAGCATGTGTTTAAAAGGCGCTCGAGACGTGAGTGACCCCACTTGTTTGCCTGCTTGATTCGCGTTTTGTTGGGCCCACTCGTGGTCACTGGAAGCTCTCATGGTGCTTTTGTGACTTGATTTCTTGACTTCTTGTCTCAGGCAGGTGCTTCCAGTTTTGGAGTTAGTTGCTATTTGGGGTCTATGTAGGTGTAATTTTGTTCTATATACCTCTTGCAGTACCTGTTGCTTCTGTGGCTTTTGTGGCTTCGGTGGCTTCAATTGCTTCTGTGGCTTTTGACTTCGGTGGCTTCTGCAGCTTTTGGTGTCTTTGCGTTGGTTTGGTTACGTTTCTTGATGGCTTGCTTTTGGTGGTTTTTGTTCTTGTGAATTTTGCTGGATTTTGATGGCTATAGGTTTTGATAGCTTCTTTCCTGCGTGTGGCCTTTGGTAATTGATTAGTTGTTTGTTTTGCCTTTTGGGCCCTTAAAACAAAAGGAACAAGACCACAAACACCCACATTGCAGCCTTTTGGGTGGTCATCGGCAGCATGTATCTCGTGAGATTTGGGCCATCCGCCATGATCCCATCCAAAGGATCCACCAGGCTTTCACCAAGGGATGCCCTCCCCCCAAACAACATTTTGTACTGTATGTTCATTGCTTGTGGGCAAGCTGCAGGCAGAGACATTCTGAGTCCATGAACTAGGGAGTGTGGTCTTTTTTCCGTACGGCACCGAATGGTCACCAGCACCGAACGTTCATCCGACAGTTCATCCGACAGAGTTCGTGACAGAGTTCCTCCGATCGCCTCGTCGATTTCGGGAGGTTTGCCATTTGGCGATGCAGGAGGAGATTGCCCGAAAGTCGGAAGACATCTTCCTGCCAGGCCGGTGTCCTTTTGTTTGGAGTGCGCTCTTCTCGTGCACCGAGACCGATGACAGCAAGTCTTTAACTGTACCAAAAGGGAGGGTGTCCAGCATACCCCGGATACCCCTGGTGCAGGAGTTGTATCGCGGGTTGTCATTTGGGAAAGGCCTTGTGCCTGACGTCACAGGTTGGAAGTGACACCGCCTGATTTCGGGATCTTTCGGGATCCGGCTTTGCCCTGATGGTTTCAGTAAGCGGAGATGTGGCTAGGGATAGACAACATACAAACAGACAAACAAAGAAGCACATAAACAAACACACAAACGAGCCAAGCAATAAACTGTTTGACATGTTTGAGACAGAGTCCAGCCTCAACCAAAACCTTTGCTTGTTTTGGTGCTGGGTCTTGTGCGTTTAATTGCATGCAATTTACAGTGTCGGATGCATGTCTTGTTGGGGGAGGGTTGTATTTTTGTTTAATTAGTCTGTTCCGTTTTGTATATTGTTGTTCATGTTGTTCACGCTCTTTTGTGTTTGCGTTGAACAGGCATCCTTCTTCAATGAACCTTCTCCTTTGTGAATGCCTCGTCCTTCAAGCCTCGTTGCCCTTCTGTAAGAGCATAATTTTGGGTTGATGTCATTTTACCATCTATTATAACACCTCTCCTCTGCACAAGGTTCTCTTACATAAGTTTGTGTGCCCTTTTTTTGCACATGCCACCCCCGGTACATGTACAAAACACCTTTTGTGTAAATATGAATGCGCCGAATGCGCCTTTTGAATATATAACAGTTCAAACCTTGTGATCGATGCTCTGCACTTGGTGCGGCCCTCAAGCTTAGGTGAACAGCATTGGTCAACCTGTAGCTACAGTCTAGAGTTTGTTTAGCAATGCCGGTGTTCATAGCAGGGCTGCCGTCCTTGCAATATAGTTTATGATGCAGTCCGTTTAGTGGCCTTCCTCATTTCCAGAGTGACTCATTGGTTCAACCCTCATTCTTTGTCAAGTCACTTTTCTGGTTTCGATCTCATTTGCATAATGTCCATGCTTAATTGTTCAATCGCGTAAAAAAACTGCCTGTATATGTAATGATCCTTTTGTTGAAACACAATGATCCTTTAGCGAAGTCCTAAATCATTCATCCATCAACATTATCTCCCTTTACCCAGTGTTTTTCTTTTCCCGATGCTGAACGCTTGCATTTCAGGTCTCACTTCGTTCTTATCATACGGTATTGCACGGGGACAGTAGTATTGATTTACATTGGTTTGAAGAATGTTACTCCTGCCGCGTCTTTCTTTCGTTATGTTGTTTCTTGCCTTCCTTGTTCCTTTTTATGTTTCTCTCTTTCTCTCTCTCTCTCTCTCTTTGTGTCTTTCGTTATGTTGTTCTTCTTGCTTTCTTGATTATCTATATTATTTCTGTATGTTTTCTTTCTTTCAGTCTTTCTTTCTGTCTCTCTGTCTCTCTCTCTCTCTCTTTTAGCCGCCCCCTCAGTTTTTGACCTTTTCCTCTCCATCCATGACCTATTTCAATTCGTTTTGACTTTCGGGGTGTTCTGTGAGAGACCGCAAGCTACCGCGCCCCGTCGCCAGCCCGGCCAGGCACCGAATGCCATGCCGCCTATCTCATGGAGCCAGGTTCGGCTCCACGCTGGCGGGGCATGGGTTCGTTCAGCAGTTTGGGTGATCATCAGTGAGATTGGAGACCATGTGGTGTTGATTCCAAGAGTTTTTCAGGAATTAACTTGGAAAATTGTGATATTTTCTGGAGAGTTCTCCAGGTGTGGAGTGTTTGGAATTGGCTCAAGACAAGAAGTTACCAGTCCGGACAAGGTTGTTCCATTTCGTGTCCAGTTTTTTGGTCCAGATGTGGACCAAAACAATCTAAGAGATAGCTTTGATTGTCGGATTGGGAGACCATTTGGTTACATCTCTACCCCTGTTCAGCTGCAGCGGAAGTCTGTGGGGCATCATGTCGTGGGGATCATCGCTTCATCTCCATTTCTCCATGCAGCACTCCATCCCGGGGGTACGAACTCAAGCAGGTCAGACCGAGGCCGGCGACTCGAGCTCCAGATCGATGCGTGAACCCATTGATGTTCAATCCAACAAACACCCCAAATAGGGGCAATCGAATCCAGGAAATTACATGAAGCAGATGAAGCACTGATCCGATTGTGTCTCTTCAAACTTCCTTCGCAAATAGATTGCTCCATGGATGTTCTTTTCACTGAAGAGATCAGATCGGCCATGGAGATGTGCAGCAAGAGCCACGACAGTGCTTGCGCCAGCAGGAGCAGATCCTGCGAGGGGGATAGCTGTGCAATTGAAAGCGAACGCTGATGATGGTGCAGATGATGTGGATTTCTTGCATGGGGTGGTCCAGAAGTGCAAATGGATGGGATGGGCTCAGTTTGCAATGATCCCCCTAGTTTTTGCATTGGCCAAGCTGCAGCTTGTACATTTGGTTGTTGCAGTTGTGATTTTCCAGGTGATGCTTTCATTCAGTGCCCAAGTGAGTTTGCTGAAGAGAGGTGGCAGATTGGATTTGTCAACACGTTGAATACGGCTGGCAGGAGCACATTGCTGCTATAAACCGTCTAAACTCTAATTCAGCAGGCTTGATCCCGATCCAGGAGGTTTGTGTGTACATCGGAACCCTCACGAAGCCCTGGATCCCGCAATGGATTCATGGACTGCTGCAAATGTTGCATCGATGTATACATGTTCGGCACGCGAGAAATTCACAGCTGCATGGGCACCGGTTCCTGTGCTAGGCCATGTCGTTGGACATTTGGGTTTGCCTGCGATTTTGCTACTGAGTTTGTGCATCGCCAGTGTTGCCCAATTTCATGACTTTTGCGACAAGGGCCGTCAGCTAAATGACAGAGTGGAAGCGTGGAGTGGACCATGTTCAGACTTGCATGAGGCAGCGAAACGCAGATGGAAGGTATGGATTTATGTGAGCCATCTTTCCGACGTCCCATGGATTTGCTGATCATTTTATGTCTATCCTTATACTCCAGGAAGTTTTGTTGTTGCACTAGTGGTAGTTGTAGTGTAATGATATTTCATAGTAGTGATCAGTGTTGTATTATTGTATGCTTACTGTGTACTTGTGTGCCTATCTGTTTTAAGCAAACACCGCGCTTTTTGTTGCACGTGGTTCTTCATGTTCTTGCATTTTGTACAAAGTTCTAGGTTGCTGGACTCATGTTGGTTCACGACCTCTTCCTGGACCTTGTGCGGGTTGAGATTGCCTTATCCTTGAAGATTTGGCCTGTGGCCGATCGGAATTCTTCATTCCGAGACTCAAGCTTGACTTCCACAATTATTGTTTTGCATCAGCAGCATCAGCATAATATGAAACCTTTCTTTGGGACATTGACCTAGATTGACCTAGCATATCCTAGCATGTTAATTAGCGGTTCCCATCACGCCACTTACTTTGCAGTTGACTCGCGCACGGCAGAAATTGGTCAACTCGTTCCTGTCGCTGGGTGCTTTCAGAGTCGTGCACTGAAGACCTCAGGAGCCAAAATTGCATTGGAGGCCTTGCCACCGCTTTGGCTACAGATCTCATTGCTGTCCATGACCTGGGGTTCCACAAGCATGTCCAGCTTTGCTGTGACCTTTGTGTCCTTGGTGTGTCCCTTGGCAGAGGGTTGGAACAGCTTGAGCCAGGAGCAGGTAAAGGACAAGAAGGTGGCAGAGTGAGACTTGAACTGTTTGAAGCACTAAACCATGTTATACTACTGTAAGTTTTGATAGCTGCCAGTAGCATCTAGAAATCTGGTGTAGAATGTTTAGAGGATCAGAATCAGAGTCTGTGAGTTTCACACCTGTTTGTCATTGGATGTTTGACAAAGCTCGGAATGCTGTCCTGAGCTCCAAGTCCAAGAAAGCTCGGAATGCTGCAGGTTCTTATGTGAACATCCTGAAACATTTGTTTTTGGTCACCGAATGTCTTGCCGCAGAGATTGAAGACTTGGAGATCTCCCAGCTGCTGAGCCTAGAGCAGTGCAGCAAAGGAGTCAATGAGAACAGCTGCCGCTGGGCTGAGAAGAAAGCTGGTTGGACTCATGTTTGGTGGACTAGTTATATATAGCTGAAAGATTGTCAAGACTTTAAAATGTCCTCTCAGTTCGCCATTTTTGCGCGTTCGAAGCACAAGATGGGACCACGTCGGTGATCAGTCTCGTACACTTGGCGTGTTGCGCAAGAGTGGCATGGGGTCAGATTTGAAGCCAGCAACGCTTGAGGTCTCTTGGCCTCTTTGGTGTTTTTTGCCATCTTCACCGTGCTGATTTGCACCATCCGTTTGGCGGGACTTTGGTATTGCCCCAGCCACATCCTGGATCTCACGAGTTGATGCGTGGACACGTAAGCGAAGGCAGGCCAGCCACTGTCATCCAAATCACCGTGTTTGTTGGTGAACACTGTGTATTCTTAGGTTGTCAGGTGACATTTTTGTTGGGCAGGCACCGGATGATCTTTTATATAAATAGTTTTTAGTTTTAATGTGTTGTAGGTATTTCACTGTATTGAAAATCAA